AAGAAACATAAGACACACACTACACAGCATAAACATAATAAGTCTAGTAACGAGAGTAATAATGCCAATACTAAAAATAATACGGCCTATAGTAATAATGATAATAATACTAGTAAGAAGAGTAATGGGAACAATAATAAGAAAAATAAGAACGACCACACATGTATAATAAGAAGAAAACGAATCAGTCGAATAAAACGCATAATGAGAATACTAGTAGTCATCACATCATAAATACCAACAATAAGAGTAATAATAAGGCGAATGAGGGTACTAAGGTTAATGCTAATAATAATAAGACGCAGAAGAACAAGAGTACTACCACGAACAATAATAATGAAACGAATTATCATACGAAGAGTATGAAGCATACTATTCACACAACTAAGAAGAGTAATACTAATAAGACGAATCTGAAGACGAATCAAGGTATCAAGAAAAATAAGTATACGAATAATACTAATAATAATAAGAAGACGGCTACTAAGAACAATAATGCTACTTTTAATAATAATGAGGAGAAGAATGCGACTACTAATAATAATAATCAGAATACTACACATACGAATAATCATACTAAGAAGAATAACTACCAATACTAATAACTATAATAAGATTAAGACGAAACAGAAGAAACCTAATACTACTACTAATAATAAGAACCATCATACTACTACTAATAATAATACGCACAATAATAATACTATTAATAATAATACTACTAATAATTAGACATAGTAATAATAATAACACTAGCAATACTAGGAATCACACTCATAGTACGAATACTAGTACGAATAATAATACTAGTAATAAGAATGCTATTTGTATTATCAATAATAATACTAATACTATTCAGAAGAATAAGAAACCTATTACTCATACACATAATAATAAGAGGAAGACGAAGACGAACACTAATAAGAAGCGGAGGACGATGAGGATGAGGAGGAGGAGGAGGAGGAGGATGAGGAAGAGGAGGAGGAGGATGAGGAGGAGGAGGAGGAGGAGGAAGAGGACCAGGAGGAGGAAGAGGAGGAGGGCGAACTGGGGAGGAGGAGGACGAGGAGGAGGAGGAGGATGAGGAAAATGAGGAGGAGGAGGAGCAGGAGGAAGAGGAGGACGGGGAGGAGGGGGAGGAGGAGGAGGAGGAGGAGAGGAGGAGGAGGAGGAGGAGATGAGGAGGAAGAGGAGGAGGAGGAAGAGGAGGAGTAGGAGGTGGAGGAGGAGGAGGATGAGGAGGAAAAGGAGGAAGTGGAGAAGGCAGAGGAGGAGGAGGAACCAGAGGAGGGGGGAGGAGGAGAAGGAGGAGGTGGAGAAGGAAGAGGAAGAGGAGGACGGGGAGGTGGAAGAGGAACATGTGGTGGAATGCTAATAAGAACAATAAGCATCAGTGTAATACGGCTACGATTAATTCTAACTATATGCATAGTAGTACCAATAACCATAATACGAGTGATACAAATCAAAATAACAGTATACACAATAGCAGTACTAGGAAGCATGGTAACAATAACAATTCAAAAAGAGGAACAATGCGAATCTGAAGAAACTGACTGTCAAGTTGGAGGACGACAGAACTGATTCTATTACAAAGAATAGGAATCGTACGACGACGACTATGCTACGGCTAGGAATAACGCGACGAGTAATTATAATAATGCTACCAATAATACTATTACTATTATTGCTACTGCTACTACTACTACTACTACTACTAATAATAATAATAATAATCATAGTAATAATAATAATACGAATGATAATAATAATAATAACAATAATTTTATAAGCCGACGAGAAATAACAAGACCAATAAGAAAAGGAGAGGGAGGAAGATGATGAGGAGGAGGAGAAATAGGAGGAGGAGGAGGAGGAGGAGGGGAAAAGGGTTGGGGAAAGGAAGCGAAAGGGTGGTTGACGCTTTGGCCGGGGGCGTCCTGGGCTGGACGATCGAAGTGATCGTTCGGGTTCCCTCTCCTGGGCTATTCTTTGGGCTGTTCTGGCGCCGTCGGAAACCATTTGGAAGCCTTTTGGGCCGTCGTCGGGGTCTCTGGGGCAGTCTTGAAGCCTTGTTTGGGACGCTTCAGCCGTCTTTGGGAGATCTTGTGGGGGCGTGTGGGATCGTTGTCAGACTTCGGAACCATCCGATACCATGCCTGTGTCGTAGGTGAGAGGCCACTCGAATGGCTGATTGGGTATCATGGGAGGCTTTCCGGTTGCTACTTGGAAACGCTTTCGGGGTTTCTTGGGGGCCTCCCGGGAGTTTCTTGGGGCCTCCTGGGGCCTTCTTGTCTTTTTTGGGATTGGTCCTGGCTTCTGTGCGCTCTCCTGGGTGCATCTGGTGGCCACAGGTTCGAAATGTCTGTTCGGGTTCCCCCTCAGGGCGCCCTCTTGGGGCCGTCTGGGGGCCGGCCGTCTCGGAACCCGGGGGGCGTTTCGGGAGGTGTTGGGGCGTCGTTGTGGTCTCGTGAGCCATGATGGACACTGCGAAAGCCCCTGAGGCGAATCTGTTAAAATATTTATATTTCCCCAAGTGAGTGGAATTGTGTGTCTCTGTGGGGGCTCCCGGGATGCTCTTGGGAGCTTTTTGAGGCGTTTTGGGAGGTTCCTGAACCGTCTTGAAGCCAGGTGGGAAGTCTTGGAACGATGTTTCGGCGTCTCGGTGCCCTCAGGGGCGCGTGGCGGCCGCGACCGCCCTGGCTCGCTGGCGTTGGTTTTTGATTATTTGCGATTGTGCCTGGCCTCTCCAGGGCCCGTCCACGGACGCCTGGCGGTCGCGACCGCCCTGGTTTGCTGGCGCTGGTTGTCGATTATTTGCAAGTGTGCCTGGCGACGCCAGGGACCGCCACGCGACCGCCCTGGCTCGCTGGCGCTGGTTTCGACTGTTTGCGATTGTGCTTGGCCTCTCCAGGGCCCGTCGAAGGACGCCTGGCGGCCGCGACCCCCCTGGCTCGCTGGCGCTCGTTTTCGATCATGCGCGATTGTGCCCAGCCTCTCCAGGGCCTGTCCAAGGACGCTTGGCGGCCGCGACCCCCTTGGCTCGCTGGCGTTGATGTTCGATGATTTGCGATTGTGCCTGGCCTCTCCAGGGCCTGTCCAAGGACGGCTGGCGGCCGCGACCCCCTTGATTCGGTTGTGCTGGTTTTCGATGATTTGCGATTGTGCCTGGCCTCTCCAGGGTCCTTCCATGGACGGCTGGCGGCCGCGACCCCCTTGGTTCGCTTGTGCTGGTTTTCGATGCTGTGCGATTGTGTGGCATGGTCTGGCGTCTTGCGCCAGGATGCAGAAATTTGAGCAACAGTGTTTGCTCCAGTGCTTGCCGTGGCGCTGCCGCCTTTTCTTCCCGCCTCTAAAGCACGCATCGGGCGCCGCTCGTTTGGGCTAATACCCCCCCTGTCCGTCATGTATTCGTTTCCTCCTGTTTTGTTCCTCCTCAGTCGTTTTGACCGTCAGCCCTCCTCGAAAACAAACGCATGCCTTGATCCGACCCCTTCGCCCTCTGATTTCAATGTCGGGGGGGTGCGCGCAGCGCGGCCCGTGGAGTGAACCAACAATTGCAGTCGCGAGCGTCGGCGTCAACACCGACATTGGCGTTGTGGGCTTGGGGTGTCGCCATGTCGCGGAGAAAACTTGCGTTTGATGTCGAGGAGATACGTAGAACCACGAACGGGGGCCGTTCGGGTTACACGTAAGAAGGAGCAGGAACAGGATTATGACAAGCTCCTCGTAGAAATGAGTGAACCGTATGATGAGGATGCGGGGCCGCCCAGGGTATAATGCCACGCGAATGAGTCTAGTCACGGTTTCCAGTCGTCGCATGTCCCATCGCAAATTCCATATCATGTAAAAAATGTATAACATATGGAATGCGCGCATACAGCTTCAATACTGCTCGCATGTCAAATCGTTTTTTTGTTCCATTGCCACCTTCACCTGTGACCCCAGCAGCACAGACGAATTGTCATGCGTTTAAGTAGTGTGTGCGTATGTTACGCAATGTTCTGCGAGACTCAGTGCGTTTATGTTGTTAGGCCGTTGTATGTGTGCACTGTCGCGTTATGACGCAGTGCTATGCTATGATACGAAGTGCCATGCTATGTTTTTGTGATGTGTAGATGCGATTGCGAAATATCGACTGGAAAGTTCTATTGTGCGGTTCGTTTTAAATATCCACCGCTTATACCTGGAATGTTCCAAGCTAGATGTGCAACGTGCATTTTGGGATCATGTGGTGTGTTAGTTCGATGCCCCCGTGGTTTGCACATTTATAGCGCTACCGGAATCATAAAATTTAGTGCACGTGTATATATTTTTCCCTATCGACACACATGTATAATGTATATCTGTATATATATATGTATATATATATATATGTATACGCACGGTCCGTCCGTGGCTTGGTGGCTCTGGGGGATAGGCCCCCAGGCGGTGGACATGGCTACAGGAGGACCCCGCCGCGGGCCCTCAAGGTTGAGCGCCGCCAGTGGCACAGCACCGACCGAGTTGGAGCGACCGGGCCGATCGAAACTCCGCCGATCCTTCAGAGGTAGGTTCGGCGGCGAGCGAGGGGGGGAAGTGAGAAAAAGGCCCTCTCAGAAGGCGGCGGGGCCTCTCAGAAACCCTCGCGCCTTCTGGGAGGCTTTCTGTGTTCGGGGAAGGCTTGGGCATCTTCTCGGCAGGCTTGGGGACTTCCGAGCCCTCTGAGAAGGCCCGCCCCGTTTCGCTTTCCCTCCGGGCTCGCCGCCGAGGAATTGCCCACGCTGCATGATCAGGAACCAACGCCAGGTGCTCATGGCCCCCTGCCACGCATCGGTCACCGAGAGCGTGCCCGGAGTTGTGACCGAAGACGCCGTGCGACGGAGATTTCCGGGCACGAGTTCGGCCACGCCCAGGCAGAGCTCCGGGCACAGCTTCTCGGTCACGCCGAGCGCGGCTGCGCGAGGGCTCGTCGCGCCGAGCCCGTCGTAGATCCCGCTTCGCCCTCTGCCGACCCGCAGGCGCCGCCGGTGCGGTCGCCCTCGCGCCCCAGGGCGGAGTCCGGGCTCTCCGCCGGCACCTCCGGGAGCCTCGCCGGGAGCCGGTCGCCGCTCCGGCTGCTGAGGGTCGGCTCCAGGGAGCGGCTGTGGGGCAGCCCGGCGGATTCCCAGGCCAGGGGAGGAGGAGGGGGAGGGGGAGGAGGAGGAGGAGGAGGAGGAGAGGAGGAGGAGGAGGAGGGGAGGAGGAGGAGGGGAGGAGGAGGAGGAGGATGAGGCGGGCTCGCACAGAACTCCCACTTCTGCTCGTCGGCGAGAGGACAGCACACCACAACACACACACGCACGCACACACAACACACACACACACACACACACACACACCACACACACACACACACACACACACACACACACACACACACACACACACACACACACACACACACACACACACACACACACACACCACACACACACACACACACACACACACACACACACACCACACACACACACACACACACACACACACACAACACACACACACACACCACACACACACCACACACCACACACACACACACACCACACACACACACACACACACACACACACACACACACACACACACACACACACACACACACACACACACACACACCACACACACACACACACACACCACACACACACACCACACACACACACACACACACACCACCACACACACACACACACACACACACACACACACACACACACACACACACACACACACACACACACACACACACACACACACACACACACACACACACACACACACACACACACACACACACACACACACACACACACACACACACACACACACACAACACACACACACACACACACACACACATACACACACACACACACACACACACACACACACACACACACACACACACACACACACACACACACACACACACACACACACACACACACACACACACACACACACACACACACACACACACACACACACACACACACACACACACACACACACACACACACACACACACACACACACACACACACACACACACACACACACACACACACACACACACACACACACACACACACACACACGCGCATAGGAGGGTCGGAGGGAGGAGGGGTGGCTCCCGTTCGAATTGGGCCCTGGGGGAGGCTCCGGTTCGAATTGGGCCCATCCGACAACACGCACCAATAGCCCCCTCCGCCCCTCCCCAGTGGGTATGGGTGTGTGTTGTTCGTTCGTCATTTCGTCGGTTATGAACAATCCAGCGGGCGAGTCTTCACAGGGCCCTGGCATCGTCGATTACCATAACATGTCAGGATGAAACGCCAGTCGCAGGGAAGAGGTCCAGACCTCCCCTCGGGGTCCATGCTGTCGACAAACACGGCGTCGGAGTTCAGGGAGGTGCCCGCGTCCCAAGGAGGCCCCCGCGGCCTCCAGAGTATGCCGCATCGAGGTCCAGAGGGCTCCTTGTAGGATCTCCAAGATTTTAATCGGGTTTGTCCCTCTACAGCATAAGTATTCAAACATAGTAAAATCATAGCCTGGGGACGATGTTTCTGTTTGTACTGATTCTGTTTCGATTACGTCTGGGCATGTCTGGAGGATTTGTTTCATCTGTCCCCCAAAATCCGCTTGAAGGAGGACATGCCCGACCTACTCCTTGCAGGATCTCCAACATCGAGTGAAACGTCGGGGGGCGCCTTGGGCCAGGAGCATCTGCAGCAAGCCCCGAAGCAGCACCCGTCGGAGCTCCGCGCGGAGCTTCTTTGGGCATGGCGAGGGCCCCCCCCGCGGGGCGGCGACCACGCCGCGCGGTGGGTCGGTGGGGACTCGGGGCCACCGCACGGTGGTGGGGCTCGGGCCGTCCTCCGAGGACGTCTCGGGCGACTGGGGCAGCCGAGATCCCGAGACCGCGCGGCGACGGACCGTGCGGTGAGGTCTCGGGGGACTTCGAGGCCAGCGCACGGCGTGCCACCGCACCGTGTCGGGACTCCAGAGGGGGTCCCCTCGTCAGTTTGAGAAAGGGGGCAGTTCTCATCATGTTGTGCTCGCGTGAGCGTTTGGAGGTCCGCGTGCATCTCTTGGGTCCACGCTGGGCCCCCCTCCCCTGGCGCGCGAAGCGCGCCTGGGGATGGCGCCAGAGGCGCCGCGAGGGATTGGGGGGTCCTGCGCCGGCTCCAGGAGGTCCGCGCGGACTTCGCAACGGTCAGGTTTATGCCGCTGTTGGTTCTTCTGTGCTTGGTCCGAGGAGGCTCTGCGCTGTTGTTCCTCCGCCCTTCCCAGCGTCAGGCGGATGCCACAGTATAAATGTTTCCGCGGCGATTGTCGCGTTTCCAAGGTGTGGCACAGTGCAAGACAGGGCAAACATGCAAGCGGAATGCTTCCCGCATTCCTGCTCAGCGAATGCGGCTGCCCCACATGGCCGGGGGCCAGACATTGTCAAGCTGGAAGGTTGAATACAGAATCGGCCCTGGTACATCCATGGCCAGCATCCGGCGTAGTCCTATTTCTATTTCATCACCGTAAACGGAGCTCAGCGTTGTTCAAATCTCAGTTCGATCTGCCTCAACAATCCCTGAATCGGACCTGACAGTCCTCGAGAGGAGGAAGAGGAAGAGGAGGAGGAGGAGGAGGAGGAGGAGGAGGAGGCGTTTCTTGAGTCTCCGAGGGGGAGGAGGAGGAGGAGGAGGAGGAGGAGGAGGAGGAGGAGGAGGAGGAGAGGAGGAGGAGGAGGAGGAGGAGGAGGAGGTTGTTCCCAAGTAGACCTTCCAGCAGCCGCCTCCCGCGGGAGGGCCTGCCCAGCGGGCTCGACCTGGCTCAGCAGCTCCTTCGTCGGGCCAGATGGCCCCCAGCTTGCCATCGCTCGGACGTTTGCGTTTTGTTTCCTCTCGGCAGGGGCCATCGACGAGCATCTTGTGTCCTCCTGCGAAAACGTCGCGCACGAAACCGACAGATGAGCAACACAAAAAACGGGGTCGTCTTCGCCGACATTGGCGCAAGCTGCCCGCGTACGCTCGCGCGTTAGCGCCTTCGTCTCCAATAAAGCGTGCCGCGCTGGCGGCCCGCGTAAGCCACCGCGTAGGGTCGCTGTGTCATCTCCCGTAAGGCCTCATGTTGATCGTCGCTCACATGCACGGGGAATGGACGTCCGAGCGATGGCGCGTCCGTCGCTCCTGCGTCGGCCTCGAGGGAGCTGTTGTCCCCACGGGAGGGCCCCGAGGGCGACGGGCCCTGGACCTTGGGCCTTTGCCCAGGGGCAGCCCGCTCTTCGGGGTAGTTCTCCTCTCCTCCTTGTCCTCTGCGCGACCCCCCTGTCGCTTTGCACCTGGCCCACTTAGTCCTCCTCCTCCTCCTCCTCCTCCTCCTCCTCCTCCTCCTTCTGTAAAGTTAGAGTAGCGTGAGGAACCAGCCGTGCGCGTTCGTCCTCCTCCTCCCGGTCCTGGCGCCCGCGGATGGCCCCACGTGGCCCCTCCTCGCTCAGAGCCCCTCCCCGTTCGGGGCCCGTTTGCTGCGGGCGGGCGCCGGCCGCACAGCCGCACCGACCCTCCCCAGGCCAACCGCGGGCCCAGGACCAGCGTGCTCTCGCCCGGCCTGGCCAGGAAGGCAGGCGCACCGGCCCCGGGCCCGGGACTGGCATGCCCAGGGCCGGAGCTGGTGCACAGTTGGTGTCTTCCTTGGGTCACCCCAGGGGGAGAGTGGTGTTTTGGTGTTTACCCTCTGTGCCGCAACGCGCGTGATGCCCCCTACCCTCCCCCCCTGGGCCGCTCAGGGCCCCCCCCCCCCTTCCTCCGCCCCCACCCCCATCACACAGCGCTCTGTCCCTCAGTGCGTCCCCGGCTCTGCCACAGTGCGTCTGGCACCACAGTCTCGGGGGGGCGCTACGTTATGCCCCCTGCCGTCCCCCCCCCCCTCCCCACCCCATAATGGCCGCTTTGACCGCGAAAGCGAAATGCGCTCGGAGGGCGTGAGGATATCCGCGATTCGCGGAAGGCGGCTGGGGCCGTTGAGCTGGCCTCCTCCAGGCGGAAGAGGACTGCGGGTCGCGCCTCGCCAGGCGCGACACGTGGACTTACAGCAGAACTCCATGCCAAGAATCACCTTGCTTGCCTCCGGGGCGCCCTGGGTTTCTTGGAGTTCGATGGTTCTGCGATGGACAGCGTGACAGTCCCACACCAGACATCACTGGCCGTCCTGGGGTCTAAGGTTTGGGTTTCTTGTGGAAGGCTTCGTGTGGTCGAGCTCCTACTGTACGGTAGGTTCGCGTCGTGTCGACTGGCGGCGACACCGCCGCTGGGGTTCAACGTTGAGCGCGCCGGCGACTCAGCATCTGTCTATGTTGAACGATCTGATGGTTCAGATTTGGCCGATCGTTCAAGGTGGAACAATCTCCGCGCTGTCAGAAACCAACGCCGAAGTCGGCACGACACGAACCTTTCGTACGTGACCCAGTTCCCCCAGGATCGCCACCGTGCCTTGGCATAGCCATCCTGTGTCTTACGATGGCGTGTAGGCCTCTTGCCAGGATACCTACACGCCATCGTAAGGCACATGCCAGGAAGCTCCTTGGTAAAGGCCAGATGCTCCTGGCATCGGCCAAGACGCAGTAGTTATACACCATGCTGGGGTCCAGGATGGCCCTCGGCAGCCATGGTGGTGGGATGGAATTGCCTTTTGAGTCTCCAGGACCACCCTGAAGGGCTCGACCCCTTCCTCGGGAGTGTTTCTTCGCTCCAGATCGATGTTTGATGTCCCCAGGGCCCGAAATGAGCCCCGGGTGGCCGAAGTCGGGAAAGATCGCCTGGACCGCTCCGTGTGCGATCCACAGAGGCGTCCTGGACGTCATGATTCACAGCTCGCCAGAGAAACACAGCCGCCCAGCACCGCGCTGCACCGCGCAACACCGCGCAACACCGCCCACCAGTACCGCGCAGCACCCTGCAGCACCGCGTTGCTCTACCTGGCTGCGCTGAGCGGTGGGCGCTGCGCGGTCCTGCGCGGTGCTGCGCGGTGCTGCGCAGTACAGTTTTCAAAGGGTTCCCATGTCAGGGCGCAGCTCCTGGAATATTCCGTTCATAATCGGCGCTGGTGATTATATCCGTGGTCGAAAATTGGCCTA